GAGAGGGGGTGTGGGAAGCGGGCTCCCTGCTGAGCAGAGAGCCCGATGCGGGGGCTGGATTCCAGGACCCTGAGATCATGACCTGAGCCGAAGGCAGAGGCTTGACTGACTGAGCCACCCACGTGCCCCAAATCTGTCTTTTAACCACTGAATTTGTGGTAGGTAATTTGTTACATCATAGGAAACTAATATAAATCATTAATTTATTAGCATTAAACCATGCCAAATAATTGTTTCCTTAAAAAACCTACTTTTTAAATAGCCCAAAATAAGTCTGTCAGAGGAGTAACTGAAATAGTGGTAATTAATGCTATGGTTAGCTAAATCAATTTATCTAAATAATTCACAAAATGATCTGAATTGAAAGGGAGTCACTGTTTTTCTCATCAGTGACTTATTTTAAAAAGTAAGTGTCCCAAATATGATTGTCATTTTTCTAAGTGAATTAAAACAGTAAAATGAACCATCACATTGTTAAATAATATAAGAAAATGTCATTCAGGGGAACACTGTGAAAAATAGCATGTTCTAAGTGTACCTGTATGAAAACAAATCTTTGTGCAGTTTGACAGAAGTTTATCCACTATGCTTATTGATATGAATATAATTTTCACTGAATAAAGAATTTATGAAATTCTCTAATATAAACATTATTCATGTAGATGTCCAGAACATTAGTGAACAGATGTGAATGAATCAGATCTTAGTAAATGTATTTTCAGTGTAAAATGCCAATTCTGTGTTTTAGAACGGCGGCCTTCACAAAACGAAATGTGCATATACCCGTGGGAACATAAGATGTCCCTGGAAGTGCAGGAGGTAATGTAGAACTTTGATTGTTACAGCCCCTTACCTTTTAAAATTTACTTCCTCTCTGTACGTGTTTTATAATTTACAGTAGAGCAGTACAATATTTTATGTATAAATATGTGCATGCATATATATATGTATGTGTATATATATATACATATATATATGTATATATATGTATATATATATATATAAATAAATAGATGACATGAAAATCTGGAGCACATGCTCTTCAGTTTTTCCGGATAGGGGTTCTAGGATTTAAAAGTTTAGAATAACCTCAACAAGAATCACCAAGCCACTGTCTCTGTTACAGTGTTATGTTTGATTCTGGTCTAAAAATAAACACCTAGGCAATTTAAATAAAAATTTCAAACTACTGCTAAGTGCAAACTTGTCATCAACCTTTCAAACAGGTTAACTACAGAAAAAAATGTGTCAAATGTTTCAAAGTAGCATTTATTTTTTTTAAAAGCATATTATGAGGTAGACTTAAACCAAGACATTCAGTGCATATATTAATAGAAGTTTTACTGAAATCTTAAAGTTGCATGTAGGTATATACATATGTAGCTAAAATCACCTACAACTCTACATTCATCCACATGAAAACCTCAAGAGAATTCAACTGAAACAGTAAAAGCCTAGTACAGTTTATAAAGCTTTCCTAATTGTGAAATGAAGATCTGTGGAAAAAATCTGTGGGAGGGATGGAGTCTTAATTTTAGATTTTAGACGTTATTTTACTAAATCATTCACTTTATGGCTAGTTTTCAATGAATGTGAGTATCTTTACTGGACAGGAGATAAAAGTCAGCATGGTAATATCAAAGCAGGACCAGCTATCTAATTTGGAAGCACACTGCAAAATAGAAATGTGGGCCCCTTGCTCAAAAAATTAAGAATTTTAAGATGGATCGAACAGAACCTTACACCAAGCATGAGGCTTTTCTCACTGCACGGCGTTGTATGCCTGTACTGGCCACACACCATGAAGCCAGCGCTACAATCTTAGTTATCCTTGTCCCTTGAGTCTGTTGTTAGACTGGACAAGGCATATAGTAGGGATTCAATGTTTGGTGAATGAAAAATTGAGTTTTGCAGTTTTCCAACTCAATGAGAAATGCTTAGTTTTTCTGACCTGTGGTCAGAAGAAAATCTTAACTCTGATGAAGATTTCTCTATTTGCACATCACATTCCGGCTTCACGGAAATTCAAGGCCACATATGGCTAAGGTTCATTTGATTCCTGCAACAAGAAATTTATTGAACTACTCTGTCGGCTCCTGTACTGGGCACTGGGGATGCAAGAAAAGTCAGTCCCTGCCTGCAAGTTGCTTACAGTCTAATGGAAGAACTTAACAGTACCTCAGAACCTAGTGAGAAAACTTCCTGGTGTCTAGGGTATTATCTGGAACACTGCCTACTTTCCTAAAAATATGAATCTAGACTTTACCAGAAAGCACGTTTTAGAAATGGAAGATGCAGTGAAAATCGAATAGCCAGCCTTTAATGTAGAAAACATGAAACTGAAATAAGGAAGAAACTTAGGAAAGCTGAAAAATTCCATTTTAAATACTATGAACAAGATTTAAATTTTAAAATTATTTTATTGTCTCTGGATGACATTTTATTTATAGTAACATTTATATACACATACATATACAAGTTGTGCATATGTGAGATGTGTTCCTTGGAGCTTTTGATAAAACTGGTATTTCCGTTATTAATTCATTTAAAACTAAAGCGGCATACAGGTAAATTTGACTTTCCTTTTGATTATTTCTGTTGTCATTTGAACAGGAGAAATTCTTGGGGTATAAATTTGGTATGATCTTATTCTGTAATGAGATGAAAATTGCCTTTGTAACCGTGTGTGGTAATTTAAGCATGTATTTTAATGGCTATTGACCAAGTTTAATGGCATCAAAAATATTTAAGTCTATCTGGATTTATTTTTATTGTTTCCCCTCCCCCCCATTCTTCTTTTTTAAAAAACAAATATGAAGGGTCCTTGTGCAAATACAGAGCCTTTGTTGTTACTTGGCTGTGCTTGGGCGCATTGCCGTTCATCCCTTCATCTAGCAGCATCCTTTGTCCGTAGTATCTTCCTTGGCAGTAGCTGAAACGATCACTAACCTAGGCTTTCCCCGGGTTATGGTGAACCTGTCAGAGCGCTGCTGGTCCCAGAGACTGTGCACGCAGGGCTTGTGCGGCTCTTTAGATGCTAAACGGGCCTGGTGATCTCCTGTCCCAGCTCGGAACAGATGAACACAGCGTGTATGCCAGCCTGTTAGAGGCAGGCACGTGGAGACTGTGGTAGGAGACAGAACAAACCACTTAGCACACAGAAACATTTTTAAAGAAAAAATCCCCAAATCCAAGCAACCTGAAGCGAATGATTATACCTCAGGGCCGAGGGAATCACTTTCTAATAATTGATATTAACTCATATTTATTATAGCCCTTTACATTTTATGAAGTATCTTACATACATCAGAACTCATTGGGTATTTATAATAACACATGAATGTAACTTTTACTTTCCGTTATGAAAAAGTGAATTATACCGAGCATGCTCTTTAAGAAGGCAGGGAGGTACACTCACATAGCTGAAAGACTTGCATCAAAAATAATTTACAAGTTTTAAATTTTGGCACTTATGATATATACATTAGTTATCCAAAATTTCATATATATATATGCTTTCTTTCATGACCAGCACTGGCTATTACTGAGTGAATTTTCACAGCTGTCCGTGGCTGCTGGTCATTTTAAATGGGGATGATTGTCATCAGTGTTATCAGACTATTTTTCCTGCTAAACAGAAGATTTAACAGATGCTTGTGGATGCCAGTACCATATTCGGACTGATATGGGAAACACTAGGCTTCTAACAGATTCTCAGAGCATTTTTCCTATATTGCACTTCCTGGAAAACAAAACTTTAACCATGACATAATGTGATCTTGGTTCTAGATAGGAGTTGGGAACCTTATCCTTGTTTGCCTAAAATTTTTGGTAAAGCCTTATCTTGGATGTAACAAGGAGAAATAACAAAATATACATGTACTTTGGGCTTCTGAGGAAAAAAATCAGATTTTCAAAAGATTGAGAGGTCTTGTCTGCTTTAGCCACTTCATTTTCACAATTAAAGATAAGGAACTACTAAATATTGATGTTCCTAAACTTAGTTAACATAGCATTTCTGTAGAGCGCTTATTTTCAAGATTTTTTTAAAGGTACAGTCTGCCCCTCAAGATGGGGCTCAAACTCATGACCCCAAGATCAAGAGTTGCATGCTCTACTGAGCCAGCCAGGCGCCCAGTAGAAAGGTTTTTAAAACAAGTATAATTTATACTACACTTACCAACAACTATACCACATTACCATTTATAATATATTCACCAGTTATCATGAATAAAAATGACTAAAATTTAGAGTAAAAAAACTCCAGATTAGCTTTTATGCTCTTAAGTGAAATGAGACCTTGAAATTTTAAGATGCAGTTTCCTCCAAGAGTCTAGCATTCCTGATGCCCTATGATTCCTGTATTAATATCCCCCTCATGATGTTTTGATTACAGCCGACCTCAAAAAGAGGACAAAGGTGGTTTTGTCGAGTTTGCTAATTTTTAATTCTCATCTGTGTGGCTCTATTTTTATACAAAGCTATTTGTTCCACATTTTTCTTTACTTTACAGCTACATATCCTCCTCGAAGTCTTTCAGTTAGGAGGGGACTGTATGTATGCCCTGCAGTTTATGGTACTAATTCTAATGGAAATTTTCATTCTTCTGAATCTTGCATGGTGCAGAAGGTAAGTCAGCTCTGTAATAAAGAATTTACAGAGGATGCTAAACAAATTCACAGGCCATTTTCCCATCTTTATAAACAAAAGGGCAAAGTGGTAGAGTAGTAAGCACCCAGGCTCTGGACTGAAGCAGCTGGGTTTATTTTATTTATTTATTTATTTATTTATTTATTTTTAAAGGTTTTATTTATTGACAGAGATCACAAGTAGGCAGAGAGGCAGGCAGAGAGAGAGAGAGAGGAGGAAGCAGGCTCCCTGCTGAGCAGAGAGCCCGATGTGGGACTCGATCCCAGGACCCTGGAATCATGACCTGAGCCGAAGGCAGAGGCTTTAACCCACTGAGCCACCCAGGCGTCCCAGCAGCTGGGTTTAAATCCCAGTGTTGCTCTCCGCCCCCCGCAGCCCAGTGCCAGCTCTGACTCAACCTTTCAGACCCTCCATTTCTTCCAAAGTAATTTGGTGCTCATGTCACCTACCTTGCATGGTAATTTGTTAGTGAGGGTTAGTAGTAAAGTGTGTAGACTGACAGGAAACTATAATGGTTGAAGAATCATGGACTGAAACTGAGTTGGGCAACACGTGGGTCTAGCATCCGACATTCAACTCTCCAGAGGGGTTGCAATATATGGAATCTTTGTTTCATCAATAGAAGCACTGTACTCAGTAGCTTGTTTTGAATGTTAAGATTGGGTACTTTTGCCTCCAAAACTTTATTTTCCTTTACATATGTGGGCGTTTAAAAATATTTATGGCAAACCAATGTTTACATTATACTTTGTAGTAATTTTCTTGATGGCTAAAAAATTTCAAATTCTTTTTAACATCCATGGTAAAATGATATAATTGTTAAAATTTGTCCTAGAGCCAAGATTGTTCCAAGGGAGATGTATGTAACCTCTGCACACGTGTGTGAATGGCTGTCTGGTAGGTCCTGCAAAAAAAAAATGTCATTTTTATTCATGTATTTGGGTTGCTTAAATATTTCTATAAGATTTGGGATTCTTTTCTTAGGGCCAGAATTCTCAGCATCTACTCCCTTGCGTTTTTCAATCTATCAGCCAGTTTAAGGGTAGTCACAATAATACAACTTAAAGACAAGATAAAGTGTTCATAAATCATTGTTTTAACAGCCAGCATAATACAGTAGAAATTGCCCTGAGCAAGGAATTAGGAGACTTGAATTCAAGTTCTGGCTCTGCCACTAATTTTGTAAGACGACTTTAGGCAAGTCACTTAACTTTTCTCATTCATTTGATGATGAGATTGATTACATTTTCTACCTCTAAAATGGATTTCATTTACTTACTATCTTTTAAATAATTAAAACACCTTCTGGGAGTTAACCACCTGAAATGTACGGAAGTACTTACTGATGTTTAAGGTAGTGTTTTTCTAACTCTGATCTAGGAACCACCTGAATAAGTTTACTAGAGGTTCCTATTAAAAACAGATTCCTAAAAACAAAAACAAAAACAAAAAAACCCAAAAAACAGATTCCTGTCATCTCCCTGACTGAATCAGAACCTCCTAAGGTGAGGGCCAGGTTTCTGTTTTCCACAAGCTCCTAAATAACTGTAATGCACCCTATTATCTGAGAACCACTGGCCTAAGAGAATGTGATCTGAGAGGGAACGAGCTAGCATGTGGCTTAAATCACTCCAGCCTCTGGTGGATCCTTTTCTAAATATAATATCATTCCAAGTGGAGACCAGAAGAAAGCTGCTTACTTCAGCAGGCCAGTCAGCCCTGTGACTGACCCAGCTTGCTGTGTTCCATAAAAGAATATAGGAGGTCTTCACATCAGCTCTTTGTCTTGACATCCAAGTCACGGACTACTATAGTTAGGTCACGGCTTGCAGAGGACTGCAGCTCACCCCTCCCTAATGCTAAGGGTCAAGCTTGTGCCCCCTGGCTCAAGGAGTAAAGATGAAGAAAATGCCACCTCTTTCCTCTCAATCTCCCCTCCACCCTAATACCATAACAAGTCACCCTGTGTGAGTCAAATAGTCCGGCAGAGAAAACAAATTCTAAGCCACATGGTTCTCATCACTCTGACCAGATAGTGTACTAACTCAACGAATCCTCCTGTATACAACAGAAATGACCAAAGCCCACTCCTCCTGTTTTCCTTTCTAAATGCTGTTGAGAGGAACAAAATACCAAGTAAGGACACATGCTAGAGATTTTTAAATTCATACAAGTAAATTACAAAGAGAGGTGGCAGTTATTTTTTCTAGAGTTTTATAACAAAATTCCCTTCACGGTGAAAAAATATGTATAATTTTAACAGGAAACTCAAAAGACATTTTTGCTGTAAGACTAACAGTTACGAGAATAATGCCATTATCTGTGCTCATTATAGAGAAACATAACAGCAACTTTAAAAGGCCAAGTATACCGAGAAGATGGAATTTCTTTTTTAATGACCAGTATGCTGACATGGGACTTCTGGGTTTACTCAATATAGCGTCACGGATTTCTCCTAACCCTGCCATAACTCCTGCCAGACGCCCACGAAATTCACACCGAAATAAAAAAAAACAAGGAAAGAAATGAAGAAATTCGACAAGAGCTACCATGCAAAATAACCAGAAGAACTGAAGTTTAGGTGGCACAGGAGCAGAGGAATGCGGCAAAAGCTGCTGCTGCGTAGAGTCTAACTTGGCGAGGCCCCTACGATACCGGACAGCCAAGTCCTCAGGTCACAGGTGTGTTCGTGGACCCATAATAACCGGGATCTTGACCCAAACTTTTAAGATCTTCTAAAAAGGAAATACTTCACCTAAATTGAAGTAATTTATGAGTCAAACACCAGAAGAGTTCTTATTTGATGTAAGTTGTGCCTAAAACTTTGGCTGATACAAAGAAACCCGTCCGCTAAGGCACCCTGAGGCAATCTGACAATGTGTTGGAGAGAACTTCGTCGTCAGTACCACGTCATTATGAGAGTACAGAGAACGGATCACCCGCAGGGGACTGGCTTCTTTGGGCAAACAGTCTATAAGTTCACTGCACTGTTTGTCAAATCCCAACAAGCGAATCCCGTAGCCATGTGGGGAAGAGACCATTCGCCCATCAGGGCTGAAGCAAAGTTCTTTGATATAACCCCTGCCTACATTGGCCTCTTCAATGTAATGAGTTAGTCGTAGAGAACAGCGAGGTGAGACAGGTCGCACGGGAGCTCCTTCTTGGAATTCATAGACACAAGTCCACTAAGGGGAGAGAAGAGAGAGAAACCAAAGTTACAGAGCCCCAAATAATGCTAAATATTTTTTTGGAAAAAGCTCAACAGACTATCAAAGCCATAGAATTGTTGCAAGAAATCAGATGACTGCTACCCCTCTCCCATCTACTAAAATGTGTAGGCCCCACACCTTACCTTCAGAAGCCAAGGTTATTCTGTGTGCTGTGACATACTATGACTAACACCTTTTATTCCCTCAGGCTGCTGTGACTTCTGTGGTAATAATTCCTTTTTGTCAAAGTAACAACAACTTTGATACTTAAAATATTCTGAAGATTAGACATCTAAGCCTAAAATAGCTCTCCTCCTACACACTTCAAAGGTCCTTGTCTCTTTTCAGTTGTGACTTCTAGAACCAGTGAGATCCTCAAAAGACTCCTGCTTTCCAGAGTGACGAGTCATGAGGTGATATAAGGCCCTTTCCCCAGTCATCAGTTCAGTCTTTCCCCAGGTTCCGCTGGTGGTTTTACTAATTAATTGATTAATTTTATTTATTTGAGAGAGTCAGCATGAGCAGTGGGGAGGAGCAGAGCGAGAGGGAAAAGCAGACTCCCTGCTGAGAAGGGAGCATGACCAGAACTCGACCCCAAGACCCTGGAATCATGACCTGAGCTGAAGACAGACACTTAACCGACCAGACACCCAGACACCCCTCCCTTGGTTTTTAAAAAAAGAGCAAATTCTAAAACTCAATTGGCTTAGCAAAACCTTACACTTAGCCAGCTTAGCTGCAGCATCTCCCATCTGAAGTTCACTACGTAAAGGGCACGTGGCAGACGAGGGGGGCAAGAATGAAGAAGCTGGACACAATCTGAGCTGATAGTGGTTTAAAGTATTTAAACCTGGAGAGGAGGCTGGAGAGGAAGGAGGGGGTCAAGGGATAAAGGGACCAGGAACTCGCACGGCAGCAGCTGTTCCGCCAGCCCCGCTGAGGTGGAATGCCGCTGCTCCTACCTCCTGATCATCAGTGTTGCTTGAGCACCGAAGGAGAGTGGCCCAGCCCTTTGGGTGCAGCTGTAAGGACGTGATGCAGTTTCCACGGTCTCTCTCACCAGGAACTTCAGGGGTTAAGACTTCAAGACTATTTCGTGGTGAAACTCCTGATACGAAAATTAGGATGTGAGATTTCTATTATCAAAGGATTAAGGCAGCTCATCAAAGCTTTGATTTCTGGCAGTCACCCCCACCTCTAGCCTTCATTCCTGCGTCAGCACCCCCCACCTGTTTTTTTTACATGCTACCACATGTAAAAAGAAAAACTGGGCACAGCTGGGGGGAGCACCATCAGTTAAGCAGCCAACTCTTGGTTTTGGCTCAGGTCATGATCTCAGGGTTGTGAGATCAAGCCCTGCAGTGGGCTCCATGCTCAGCATGGAGTCCGCTTCAGATTCTCTCTCTTCCTCTGCACCTCCCACTCATGCTTGCTCTCTCTGAAATAAATCTCCCCCCTCCAAAAAACCAAAAACAACAACAACGAAAAAAAACCCTTCCAAACAAACTAGACACCAAAAACCATATATAGAAAAAAACCTGTGGTGCCCCTTGATGTATGGTGTACATGTCTTTGGCGTGGGGTTATGGGGAAAGGTTATGACCAGAACTAAAGAATCCAAGTTCCTGCAGCAGGAATCCATAACCTAAGACTAAGGCATTAAGGTAGACTAGAGATCCTTTTGATTAGGATTTACATCTCAGAAAACTCTAAAAATCAAATTCTAAGACCTGAAAGGAATCTGGAAAAGAAGTAAAAGATAATTCTCATCTCAGAGGACCTGGTGCTCTCTAGTCCAGAGAAGGAAATACTTGGAAGCCATGGAGACTGCCTTTATTATCAATAAAAGGCTATTATGTGTGCAAGGAGCAGGACTTCTGGCCCCCCCCCCAAGGACAGTACTATAAATGATAAGCATCTATAATTTTGGAGGCAAGGGAGGATAGTTCACATATCAGTGTATCAAAACGAGGGGTTGGGAGACATTGCCAATCATACATACGCCTGGTATTCTGTTAGGGCCCATCTTGTCCTCCTTCCTAGGCCTCACGGAAGTAATTGCTACAGCTAGCCGTTACTACTGAGCGTTCCATCCTATCCCTCAGGCATGTGGAGAACCACTTTCACAGACATCATAAAGAAGCAGTTTAGAACTTTAATATCAAGAGAAATATTTTAACACTTCTCTACCTGCGGAAGGAGTTGCTTTGAAGATTATGAGCTCCCTCTGTCAGACCCTTTGTGAACTGTTTCTCAAATAGATGTGTTATCTTCTTTAAAAGATTCCCTTTAGATTACTACAGCATTGATGGAAACCTGTGAAGCTCTAAATTACATTGTTATAACCAAACTATACCTAAATAATGATTTCACATGTGACTGAACTTTAATAACAATTTTAGAGAAAAACCACTATTTCAAGAATTCTGAAAATTGAACAAAAGCAGAAAAGAAACCCATCTAAATAAGGAAGTAGTGGCTTTTGAGCTCTGCTCCTGGGAGGTTCCTCCAGAGAGGGAACCACATGGGGATGGGATAGGGAAGACTGGTCAAGGAACTCCCTAATTTCACTTGAACCAGTTTTTGCACTTTATCTGTGCTACAATCCACAGCAGACTTCATGTCAAAAAGAGTTCTAGGGGCATCTGACTCTTGATCTCAGGGTCTGGAGTTTGAGCCCTGTACTGGGTGTAGAGATCACTTAAAAAAAAAAGTTCTAATCCTGAAATGGGATTGATAGCCTCAGCTCTATACAGCTACTGTATCTGTCAAAGTATGGTGCTAACATTCTGATATCCTGAAGACCCAGGAGTGCCAACATTCAGAACGACCTGATGTATGAGCCCCACCTCTTCTCTATACTCTGCCTAGGCTCTCCATACATTGTCTCTTCTCCCATTCCCAACTCTCTGTATCATGAAACTGCTGTGTAGTTTGGTTTTTGGGTTTACCACTGCAACAAGCAGCTAACTACTCTTAAGTTTTGTGTGTTTTTTTCCCTCATGGATGGTTTAGCTCAATAAAGATTTTTCTCAATGATTATTAAGAGCCTTGTCTTATGTTCTGTAGCCAAAGTAGAACAGGTAGAATCTAGAAAAGTTTCTGCTACAAATCAAAGAAAAAAATGTTACACATCTGGGCATAATCTCTAAATTTAATAGGAGGAATTTTTAATCTTAAATGTCATAGTCTTGAATACCCAAAGGAAAGTAGATAGGCTGTAGATCTAGGAAGGGCTCTCAAACCATTCTACAAACATAAGTAGTCATGCAAAATAATCAAGTATGTAATTATCAAGCACTTACCAGGTGATACCACCTAGAAGAAACAAATTAGAAGTCTAATGGATAGTCCCTCCCCTAAAGATCTAGGTAGGAGCCATGCTCATCTCCAAAAGGTGACCCAAAATTACAAAAAGAACCACATCTGGCCATCAGTCCACAAAGATGAGGACAAACAAAAAGTTCTTAGTTGTGAACTGGTTTGGAGAAGTAGATGAAATTTGCATAGGTAAAAAGCATCTCATTTAGGGGGTGGAAAAGAATAGGGTAAACAGCTAGTTCTCCCAGAGCAGTGGGGGGAAACGGGCACAAGCACAGTAGGGCCAGGTCATAGCCCACTTTATCCCACAATCCCTCTAAGGCTGCCAGGCATTGCTTGGATAAAGAAATGGGAGAGCAAAATGCCTACCAGGCTGGAACTAGGCGACTTTCACAAGCACCTGACAAACGCATTACCTTATACAGCACCCTCACATGCATATCTCATTTAATTTCTCTAACAACCTCAATTGGAATCTACATGTCCAAACTACTTTTTCTCTAATCTAGACCAAATGAAATTCAGACCAAAGCTCAAATTCCAACAATGATGTAAGACCAAGATATCCAACCCTAGAGACTGGTTAGCTTTTGAAAATGACTGAGGGTCAAAGAATATCCTCTTCTTTACTGGCTTTTGTCTGAATTAAAACCAAACCAAAGAAAGCTATTTGGTAGAATCTATTGTTGCAAGATTATAAAATTCCACTTTTAACCTACCTTCTCTTTGTGAGGCTCGTGACATGTGTTTCTCAGAAGATGAATTAGAATCACTATGATGACAAGGTGAACTAGAAACTCGAGGACCAGATGAACTTGATGAAGTAGTCAGATCTTGAAAACACAAAAAGTTCTGACAGTAAACTTAGCAGAACTTTAATAGCATCTCAACTTTTTAATCATCTAGTTGAAGCATACTGTGAAAATCCATCTGAAACTTGGCAAGTACATGCCCACTTAAAGCAGGCCTATAACTAAGACCAAGGTAGGTAGGGCAGCTCTTCGAAGTGTTCTAAGGCCTGGGCCCTTTCTAAAATCTCTTCTACCAAGATTTGCTTAAGTAAAATAAAAATGACAAACCAAATAAACACAGGAAAGCATCTCTGGGTTCCCCACCACTCCTGTAGTAAGATGGAATAAGAAAATTCAATAAACATGAAAACTGAGCTGTTCATCAGCCCATTTACTCTTAGAATAGGGTCCAAATACCAGGTTCATTACTGAGAACAGTAAATGAGCCTTCTTAAGCATGCCAACAATTGTTATCATTCATGGAATTATGTGAATACTACCTTTGAAATGCAATATAAACTTCATACTGAAATCTGTTGAAGAACAAACACTGAGTATCAGATAGTTGGATCTGATGTATTACTCCAAATAGCAATCTCTGTTTCATCTCACTCTTCGGTGGCCCCACACTTTTATGAGGATTTCTTCATCTAATTTCTTTTGATGTTATTATCAGAGTTACTCTTAGAAGACAGAAAATGTTCTTGGTTTTTGAATAAAAAAAATACCAACCAGACCTTCTAAGTTACTACCTCTTACTAAGCTAAAGTTGATTATTAATGTTTAACCTAAAAATAAATTTCTGAATGTAAAAGGATTATACTCACATACTTATGAAATCCCTTGCTTTGCAAATAAATTGATAAAACTTAAATTTCTACTTTTAGTAGTGAATTTGGACAAATGCAATTACAATGGGGCCTGTACTTTCCCAAAGGAGTCTTCAGATGTGGCCCTATGCATACAGGAGAAAGAGTCCAACCATCTGAAGCTGATTTTTATTTATTTACTCTTTTGAAGCTGATTTTAAATAGGTATTTATAAACATTGCGTTTCAAATGCTTAAGTCTTTTTTTCAGGGTTTTTGTTCATAAACATAAAATTATAAATAGGTATGTTCCTGGAATAGCCCTCTTTTCCCCAAAGGTAATGAAATATAGACTCTATCACATCATGTAGATAAATTACAGTGCATAAGTTTTTCTGACCCCCAATTTCACTGAAGCATTCTAATGGAATCAGCAACAGGAAAAAGAATACAGTTTTAGGGCCATGTAGGTGGCTCAGTTGGTTAAGAAGCTGATTCTTTGTTTCAACTTGGGTCATAATATCGGGGTCCTGGAGGTTCCCCCCTCCAGTGTGTTCCCTGCTTGGTGGGGAGTATGCGTCAGGCTTCTATCTTCCTCTGCAACCTCCGCCACGCTCAAAAATAAATAAATAAATCCTAAAACAAACAAACCAGAATATAGCTTTAGCAAGAGGATATTTAGGGGTTGTGAAAGAGGATGGCACCAGCTACCTGGGTATAGACTTCTGGAAGTTTGGGATGTAATACAGACTTAAAAGTAAAGCTCTATATTGAATGTATCTTAAAAGTTCTGCTATGTGGGGCACCAAGGTGGCTCAGTGAGTTCAGTGTCTAGCTCTCGATCTCAGCTCAGGTCTTGATCTCAGGGATGTGAAATAAAAATGAAATGAAATAAAATAAAAATAGTAATAAAGCTCTGTTGGGCTTCAGAAGCACTTAAAAAGATAGATCCTACCTTGGGCCACCATTAACTTTTTGAGATAGTGATGATTTAGAAATACTGATAAAAGATTTTCTGGAATGGGTGCCTGGGTGGCTCAGTGGGTTGAGCCTCTGCCTTCGGCTCAGGTCATGATCTCAGGGTCCTGGGATCAAGTCCTGCATCGGGCTCTCTGCTCAGCAGAGAGCTTCCCCCTCTCTCTCTCTGCCTGCCTCTCTGCCTACTTGTGCTCTCTCTGTGTCAAATAAATTAAAAAAAAAAAAAAAAGATTTTCTGGAAGATATCCAAATGGCCAACAGATACATGAAAAAATGCTCAACATCACTCAGCTATGAAATGCTATGATATTTGTATTTCAGGGAAATACAAATCAAAACCACAGTGAGATACCATCTCACACCAGTCAGAATGGCTAAAATTAACAAGTCAGGAAATGACAGATGCTGGAGAGGATGCAGAGAATGGGGAACCCTCCTACACTATTGGTAGGAATGCAAGCTGGTGCAGCCACTCTGGGAAACAGTATGGAGTTTCCTCAAAAAGTTGAAAATAGAGCTACCCTATGACCCAGCAAATCCCACTACTGGATATTTACCCTAAAGATACAAATGTAGTGATCTGAAGGGGCACGTGGACTGGGATGTTTATAGCAGCAATGTCCACAATAGCCAAACTATGGAAAGAACCTAGATGTACATCAACAGATGAATGGATAAAGATGTGGTGTACGTACACACACACACACATACACACACACAGGAATACTATGCAGTCATCAAAAGAAATGAAATCTTGCCATTTGCAATTACATGGATGGAACTAGAGGGTATTATGCTAAGCGAAATAAGTCAGTCAGAGAAAGACAATTATCATATGATCTCTCTGATATGAGGAATTTGAGAGGCAGAGCGGGGGATATTGAGGGTTAGGGAGGGGAAAAAAACCAAGATGGGATCGGGAGGGAAACAAACCATGAAACTCTTAATCTCAGGAAACAAACTGAGGGTTGCTGGGGAATGGAGGGGTAGGGATAGGGTGGCTGGGTTATGGACACTGGGAAGGGTATGCGCTATGGTGAGTGCTATGAAATGTGTAAGCCTGTTGATTCACAGACCTGTACCCCTGGGGCAAATAATACATTAAATGTTAATAAAAAATAAAAGATTTTCTGGATAGCAGAAAGCGCTAAAAGAAAATATTTTTATAGTCAGTAGTCCTTCCTATTCCATTGGTGACACAGAAGCACAAATTAATGCTATGTCAGAAATTCATATAGGTCATACTTCCTTGGGAAAAAAGCTCTCAATGAGCTTTCCAAAAATGTCTTCAAATTTCCTTCCCTCCTTCCTGGTATCATTCTCAGAATGGAAACATATACCATCCCTTTGTGTGAAACTCTATGGAAAACTTTTTGAAATCCAAAAGGAAAAGCTTACCTGAACTTGATGTAGTTCTTCTTGCTCTCAAAATGGGATAGCTGCCTACTTCTAAAGACTTGGTTAAGTCAAGATCATGCAAAATCAAGAGATATCCAGAGGACGTTGAGATCAACATTTTGGAACAATCTGGTGTTAATCTCATTCGCATGAGAAAACGTGTGTGAAAGAATTTCTTATGTGGACACCCATCTTCTGTACACCTAACAGAAGAAATCAAAACAAAACCTAGAATTATCATAAATATAAGGATTTGGTTAGCAGTCATATTTTCAATCTTGAAACTAGAATTTACAGTGTATGGTTAGCCTTATACACATGATAAAACTTTTTTTTTTTGGCTCACCATTCCTTCTTTCATCTCCAACTTTCCATTTTATTCTTTCTTTCTGAAATATACATTTTAAAGTAAGATTTTGTTGAGGTAAACTGTCACTTTATACTGTTCTGAAAATATTCCACTCTGATTAAAGATTAAGCTGAGCATGTAACTTCAGGTTAATAGTTGTGTCTTTCCGAATACTGGGGATATTATTCCACTGAGTCCTGGCTTTAATTGTTGCTATTTTTAAGTCTGCTATTAGGCAATTGTTACTTTGGACAATTTACCTTTTTTTTTCCTTTGGTCTCTTTGTCTTTGGAGCATTGCAGTTTCACTCTGATATATATTTAAATTTGGATTTCTTTCTATTTTACTGGGATTCATTTGACTTTCTAAATCATAAGATTCATATTATTCATATATTCTGGGAAATTCTCCATCATTACTCCAATATTGCCTGTCACTTATTTTCTCTACTCTTTTGGAGCTCCAAATAGATGTTTGAACCATTCACATTTGATTCTCCTTGTCTCTTAGCCGCTCTTTCTTATATTCTATCTCCTCATTTTTGTTACATTCTGGATAATTTTTAATATCTAGCTTCCAAGCTATTTTTAAAAGTTGTGTCTAATCTGCTACTTGACCCACCCTGGGTTTTTTTTTTTTTTTTTAATTTTTAATCACTAAAAACTACATACTTTAAATTTTTTAAATTTTTTTTTGGTGATAAATAGGAACACTACTGATTTTTTTTTTAAGACTTTATTTATTTATTTGACAGACAGAGATCACAAGTAGGCAGAGAGGCAGGCAGAGAGAGAGAGGAGGAAGCAGGCTCCCCGCTGAGCAGAGAGCCCGACATGGGGCTCAATCCTAGGACCCTGGGATCATGACCCGAGCCGAAGGCAGAGGCTTTAACCCACTGAGCCACCCAGGCGCCCCAACACTACTGATTTTTACATTTTGATCTTATGTCTAGCAATCTTGGTTAACTCATTAATTCTGATAATTTGTCAGCAGAATTTCTAAGATTTTTCACATAGACCAGTCAGAATACTGGTCTATGGGCCAAGTCTGGCCTGTCTTTATATAGGAAGTTGGTTGGGACACAGCAATATCCATTTATGTATTGTTGATGGCTGCTCAGAGACTATACAGCACACAAAGATGAAAATATTTATTATACAGTCTTTTACAAAAAATTTGCCAACCCTTCATATAGACAATCATATCATCTGTGAATGCAATTTTTTTCATTTTTTTCTCTTTCCAATCCTTATATACTAATTTTCCTGTACCAACTAGGACGCTATCTTCTGCCACCCCAAAACAGTGGTATACAGTAGTAGTAATAGCAGCCAAGTTCTCTCCCTTCCTGATTTTTTAAGATTTTACTTATTTATTTGACACAGAGAGAGAGATCACAAGTAGGCAGAGAGGCAGAGGGCAGAGAGCCTGAAGCGGGGCTCAATGCCAGGACCCTGGGACCATGACCTGAGCTGAAGACAGAGGCTTTAACCCAGTGAGCCACCCAGGCACCCCTTCCCTTCCTGATTTTAGAGAAAAAAAAAATTTTTTTTTTTAGAGTAAGCTCTTTTTTTTTTTTTTAATTTATTTATTTAACAGACAGAGATCACAAGTAGGCAGAGAGGCAGGCAGAGAGAGAGGAAGTAGGCTCCCTGCTGAGCAGAGAGCCTGATGCAGGGCTCGATCCCAGGACCCTGGGATCATTACCTGAGCTGAAGGCAGAGGCTTCAACCCACTGAGCCACCCAGGCGGCCCTAGAGTAAGCTCTTTACTCAACGTGGGGCTTGAACTCACAACCTTGAGATCAAGAGTCACGTGCTCTACTGACTGAGCCAGCCAGGAAACTTCTAAAAGTTTCACTATTTAAAAATATCCTGTTTTACTGTACACTTTTGATGAGTTTCCATTTTTAATGAAGTCTAACAGCTTTACTGAGATATAATTTACATATCATAAATTCACTCATTTTAAGTTAACAAGTGATTTTTAGTAAATTTAAGGAGTTGTGAAATCATCAACTCAATTTTAGAACATTTTCATCATCCTAAAAAGACCCTCCTGCCCACTAGCTGTCTTTCTGTTCCTACTCCCAGTCATATGCAGCCACTAATCTATTTCTGTTTCTATAGATCTGCTTATTGTGGACATTTAAGAATTATACAGCAAATGGTCTTTTGGTTTGGCTTTTTTCACTTAGCATACTGTTTTTTGAGCTTCATCCGTACTGTAGACACGTATTAGTACTCTGTTCCTTTTCATTACCAAATACTCTTCTATTGTATGGATATACATTTTGTTTATTCATTTACCAATGAATAGGTATTTGTACTGGTTCCCTTTTGGGGATATTATGAATACTGTTATAAGCATCCATGTACAAATCTTTGTGTGGTGACAGGTGTTCATTTCTCTTGGGTAGATACCTAGGAGTAGAATGGCTGGTCAGATGGTAACTCTATGCTTAACATTTTAAAAAACTACCAAACTTTTCTAAAGTGGCTGCATTTTAGATCCCTACCAGCAATGTATGAGGATGCAGTTTCTCCACATTCTTGCCAATATTTGTCTTTTTTAAATTAAAGCCTTCTTAGTGGATATGAAAATTTTCCTCATTTTGGTTTTGGCTTGCCTTTTCCTTATGACTAATGACGTTGAACATCTTTTCACGTGTCTATTAATCATTTGTATTATCTTCCTTGATGAAATGTCTATGCAGATATTTTGCCCATTTTTAAATTGGGTTATTTGTGTATATATGAAGTGAGTTGCAAGAATTCTTTATATATTTTGGGCACAAATCCTTTATTAGATATAATTTACAAATATTTTCTCCCATGCTGTAGTTTTTCTTTTCACTTTCGTAATGGTATCATCTGATACACAAAAGTTTTTAATTTTAATGAAGTCCATTTTATCTATTTTTTGGAATCACTTGTAATTGGTTTGCATGAAGATTAAATCCCACGTTTTCTTCTATGAATTACGTAATTCTGTCTCTTACCTTCAGGTTTAAATCCATTTTGAGTTCCTTTTTTTTGATATAAGGGTCTAAATTAATCTTTTTGCATGTGGATACCCAGTTGCTCAGGTATCATTTATTGAAAAGACTATCCTTTTCTGAACCACTGAATTACCTTGGCACCTCTGCTGAAAATCAACTGATCATACATGCAATAGCTTATTTCTGGACTCTCAAAATTCTGTTCCTTTGATTTATATGCCTATCCCATGCCAGTAAACACTGTTTTGATTACTATGGCTTTGCAGTAAGTTCTAAAATTTCAACTTTGTTCTTCAAAGATTGGGTCCATATAAATTTTAGAATCAGCTTGCCAATTGGCCCAAAAAAGGCAGCTGGAATCTTGATAAGGATTGCACCAAACCTACAGATGAATTTGTAGAAAGTTGCCATCTTTAAAAAGAATTTGTCCTCTGTAATTTTATTTTTTAAGTAAGCTCTACACCCAATGTGGGGCTTGAACTCATAACCTCAAGATCAAGAGTCACATGCTCTCCTGAACCAGCCTGGTTACTCATCTTAATGATGCTGAAGTCTTCCAATCCATGAAGATGGGATGCCTCTCCATTCATTTACATCTTCTTACATTTCTTTCAGAAATGTTTTTATAGTTTTCAGTCTACAAATCTTATACTTCTTTTGTTAAATACATTCCTAAGTGTCTTATTTCTTTAGATGCTATTATGAATGGAATTTTCTTCATTTTTAGATTGTTCATTGCTTGTAAGCAGAACTACAATTGATTTGTATATATTAATCTTGTATATCTTGTGACCTTGATGAACTTGTTTATTAGTTCTAGTATTTTTGTGGAATCCTTAAGATTTTCTATAAGATCATACTTGCACAAGAACATTACTTCTTTCTTTTCAATCTGGATGCCCGTTATTTTTTCTTGTCTGACTGTACTTCCAGTGCAATTGGACCTCCAATACAATATTGAATAAAAGTGTTAGGAGCAGACATCCTTGCTTTGTTCCCAATCTTAGGGTGAATGTATTCAGTCTTTCAGCATTGACATGATTTTAGCCAGGGGTGCCTGGGTGGCTCAGTTGGTTAAGCATCAGCCTTCAGTTTAGGTCATGATCTCAGGGTCTTGGGATCAAGCCCTGTGTCTTTGGGCTCCCACCTCAGTGGGAAGTCTAACTGTTCCTTTCTCTCTACCCCTACCCACCCTCGCTAGTGTGCTCTAATAAAAAAAAATATTTACAAAAATGATTTTAGCCATTAATTTCTCATAGGTGTCCTTTATCAGATGTCTAGGGAACAAAAGTTCCCTATTATTCCCAGTTTTATTACACATGGGCATTGGATTTCTGTCAAGTGCTTTTCTGCCTTTCTTGAGATGATCCTGTTTATGCATTCTGACCTTTATTAATACAATGTATTACATTAATTGATTTTTGGATTTTAAACCAACCCTCTACACCTGAGGTAAATTCTATTGCGACATATAATCCCTTATACATGATGCTAGGTTTGATTTGCTAATATTTTGTTGAGGATTTTTGTATCTATTTTTCTTCCTCTTTTTGTTTTTGAGAAATTTTGGTCTGTAGCTTTTGTTTTTTTTTTTTTTAAAGATTTTACTTATTTGACAGAGATCACAAGTAGGCAGAGAGGCAGGCAGAGAGAGAGGGGGAAGCAGACTCCCTGCTGAGCAGAGAGCCTGATGCGGGGCTCGATCCCAGGACCCTGAGATCATGATCTGAGCTGAAGGCAGAAGCTTTAACCCACTGAGCCACCCAGGGACCCCTGTAGTTTTCTATTCTTATGACATTTGTCTGTTTTGGTATCAGAGTAATAATACCAGCCTCATAAAATGAGTTTGGAAGTGTTCTCTCCTCCTCTATTTTTTGGAGGAGTTTGTAAAAGATTGGTATTATTTATTCTATAACTGGTAAAATTCACCAGTGAAGACTTTTGGGACTGGGTTTTTCACTGTGGAAAGATTTTTAAATTACTAGTTCGATTTTTTTACTTGCTTTAGGTCTGTAGGTCTATAGATTTTCTATTTGTTCTGGAATCAGTTTAAGTAATTTGTGACTCTCCAGGTATCTGTTATCTAAGTTGTCTCATTTGTTGTCATAAAGTTGTTCATTGTATCCCTCTATAATCCTTTTAATCTCCGTAAGACTGATACTATCCCCTTTTGTTTTTAATTATGATTGAATGTTGAATTTTATTCCTCAATTAAAATAATCGTATGGACTTTCTGTTTAATCTGTCAATGTGATGAGTTATATTAATAGAATTTCTACTGACAGGTGTGCCTGTGTGGCTCAGTCGGTTAAGTGTTTGCCTTCAGGTCAGGTCATGATCCCAGGGTCCTGGGATCGAGCCCCACATTGGGCTCCTCACTCAGAAAGGGGCCTGCTTTTCCCTTTCCCTCTGCCTGCTGCTCTCTCAGCTTGTGCACACTCTCTCTCTTTCTGTCAAATAAAATAGATTAAAAAAAAAGAATTTCTATTTTAAGATTTTAAGTGACCTCTACAACCAACATAGGGCTCAAACTCACAACGCTGAGACCAACAGCTGCATGCTCTTCCGACTGAGCCAGCCAGGCACACCAGATATACCATCTTTTCACTCCTTGAAGAAACCCAACTTGGTCATGATATTTTAATTAATATCTTAAAAGTTTCAGTTTCCTTGTATTTAGAATATTTGTATCTACATTCACATTACAGATTGACCTTTTAATTTCTCTCTTCTAATATTATCTTTATTGAGTTTATATATTAAGGTTATACTAGCTTCATACATGAGGTAAGGAGAATTCCCCTTTTTCCTGGAATGTGAACTTAATAAAATTGGAATGTTCTGTTTCTTGTACTATCTTACAGAAGTCACCTGTAAAACTGAAGGCGCGCTGTTTTACTAGTAAATAAATTTTAACTGATATTTTCCATTTCTTTAATGGCTATGTCAGAAGCAATGTTTAGAATATTTAAATAATCAGCATGCATGAACACGATCCAGTCAAAATTGATGCAGTTGGCAGTGTTGGAACTGAGTCCTGGAATTACTCTACTAGAAGATCTTTAAACTCCCATCAGCAAAGGGTGCCTTTCAGGAGTCTATAAACCAGGGGTTTGACTCTTGGCTTGTATCTTACTATCTTATTCACAGTCATGTGGGCAAATTACCCAACATTTCTGAACTTGGTTTCTTTAGCTCTCAAATGGGGTAATAATAGTAATCTAACTCATGAGGCTGTTCTCAGAATTAAATGAGATGCTGAACAACCAAATAAAAGGGGGAGTGAAGGGGTAATTTATGGGGGACTTTAGCTACTAGATCATAGGAAGATCTTCAGGCAGGTATCCCTAAAAGAAGGGTCTGGGTAACCAGAGGGTGCCAAGATATGACCACCCAGGGATGATTCAGGATAGTGGCTATTTATCATTTAACTACAGTTACAACATTTAACTTCTGTGTTAACTACAGAAGTAATTTAATATCTTAACAACTATTTCAGCTAAATCACTGCATATTGGTTAAGTATCAGTCCAGGTCACAGGTGTATTTTAGGTTTTCTATTTCTCTCTTGATCAGTTTTGCTAAGGTGTATTTTTTGAATAAACTATTTCATCAAAGTTTTCAAGTATACTGGTATAAAAGTGTATTATACTATATATTTTTGGTTGTCTTTTTATTGTTAAGATTAGTCTTTTGTCTTATTTCTCCAGATGAATCTTACCAGAGAATTGCATATTCAATTGCCTTTTTCAAAAAGCAGGCTTTAAAAAAAACTTTATTCACATGCATTTTCAATTTCACTAATTTCTGCTTTTATTGTTATTATTTCCATAATCTTTCATTGGGTTTACTCTTTTTTATCTTTTTCCAGTTTTTCTGAGTAAAATGCTTAGTTCACTAATTTTCAGCCTACTGATTTCCCTATGACTTCTTTAATCCATGAATTACTTAGGAAGTGAGTTTATAAATCTCCAAACATGGGAATTTTTAGTTACTTGTGTTAATTAAACCATACTGGGACAGGAAAAATCATTTGTGTGATAACAAATCTTTGATATTGGTTGAAACTTACTTTGTAATCTAGTACATGCTCTACTTTTGTACATATTCTAAGTCTGCTTCAGAGGATGTATTCACTATTTGTTGGGAGAATCCTAAATATGCCTAATAAATCAGGTTTATTACAGTAAGATCTCCTATGGTCTTACTAACTTTTTAGTCTATTTTATCTACTAGTAAACGAGAGTATGGTATTACTATTTTCCACTGAGATGGGGATTCTTACTTTTTTCTTATAATTCTGTCCAGTTTTGCTTTTTATGGTTTGAAGCTGTGTTAGCTTCATTTAAATGTGTAGGTTCATTTAAGATTTCTTTTATGTTCTAGTGAAATAAACCTTTTAGTACTTTTTTTTTTTTTACCACTAATAATGCTTTATGCCTAAATTCTAATTCTGCTATTAATGTAGATATAACTGTTTTTCTTTGATTTCAATTTGCCTATTACTTCTTCCCCATGGTTTTACTTTGACTTTCTTGTTTGCATGTTTTGGGTGTGTTCCTTACAAAGAACATAGTTTGGTTTTCTTTTTTTTTTTTTTTTTAGATTTTATTTATTTATTTGACAGAGAGGCAGGCAGAGAGAGAGAGGGGGAAGCAGGCTCCCCGCTGAGCAGAGAGCCCAATACGGGTCTCGATCCCAGGACCCTGGGATCATGACCTGAGCCGAAAGGCAGAGGCTTTAAACCACTGAGCCACCCAGGCGCCCCTGGTTTTCTTTTTTAATTCGATCTAACCTTATCTGTTTTTTTACTGGCTACTTCAGTCCATATATATTTATTGCAATTATTGATATTTGGGTTTTCTGCCTACCATATTTTTCTGCTTCCCAATTTACCTCTTTTTAAAAAAATGATTTTCCCCCTTCTCTGCCTCTATTGGACTGTTCATGTTTTCCTAGCTTTTGTTCACTAATTTAGAACTTACCATTCATATTCCTATTCCAGTTTTATTTCTAAATTAAAAAAAAAATCTAAATTTTAACAGGTATGCTTTTCTTAATCTAAAGAAATATGTATATCCTCTGCTCAAACAATATGCATAGTTAGAAATCTTTAAGCATATCCCCTTCTTCTCTTTTTATATATTACCTCTGAAAAGAATATTTCAGAAATGGTCCTGATGTATTACTGTATTGTCACTTCCCCATAGCTAGCAACAGGTATATTTTAATTATTTTTCAAACTTCAACTCCTTTTCTTAACAATCTCTTAACTATTTTTTTAACTATTTTTTTTTTAATGCATGCACACCAGCATGCAGCCTAATGCAGGGTTTAATTAACGACCCTGAGATCAAGACCTGAGCTGAGATCAAGAGATGCTTAACCAACTGAACCATCCAGGTGCCCCAAACTCCAACTCTTTAAATAATCAATTTCTCTATAAGGAGACATTTCACTGAAGTGTTTTACAACAGAGTCATCACTGACATTTTAGATGGGACTAGTCTATTGTGCAAAATGTTCCATGCAGGATGTTTAGAAACTCTGATCCCTGTTGACTAAATGCCAGTAGAAATCCTCTCTTTTCCTCCCATAGTGACAACTAAAACTGTACCATACATTCCCACTGGGAAACATCCCCAGTGGGAAACTATTTTAATGCATGAAAAAAAGTACAAAAATTACAAAATAAATAGGTTTAGAATTGAAAGACTGAAGAATGAAAAACACTTGTTCCACAGAGGAAATAACAAAAATATCTTTCCTTAAATTCCTTAAGTTTAGGAAACTCATCTTATAAACCAGTTTTCAACATTAACTATACTGCTTTGTTTCCTTTCCATTTAATTTTCTCCAAATTTTTTAGTTGCAGGATGTGACTAAGAGGAAGTAATAAAAGATGGAATCATTTTTTATTTTTCCCAAAGTCAGGTTTTTCTCCTAAAGAGATATGAAAGCTAAGATAGAACACTGAATTTGTTTACCATTTTAACAAATATTTTGGGGGGGCATCTGGGTGGCTCAGTCAATTAAGCACCCAACTCCTGATTTCTTAGGTCATGATCTTAGGGTTGTGAGACAGAGACGCACACCAGGTTCTATGCTCAACAGGGAGTCTGCTTGAGATTCTCTCTCTCCCTCTCCCTCTGACACTCCCCCACCCCACATGCTTGCTGTCTCTCCCTCTCTCTGTCACATAAAGAAATCTTTAAAAATTTTTTTTGTTGTTCACAATCCTAACATGGTCTCCTATTCACAAACCTGTTGGTGTCCCAAATAATGACATTTCCATCAAATCCTGATGTTACTAAGAGTCTTGTATTAGTATCATATTCGATGTTCTTCACCCAGCTAGTGTGACCATGTAAAGTGCATACTTTGGTGTTCAGTTTTCTCAGATCCCATAGTGCTATTGTAGTGTCATCAGAGCAGGTAGCAAACAGCCGGTTATCAAGAAATCTACAAAGCAGAAAAGAAAAATTGGTTTATTTCATCTCTTGTTAAAGAAAACTTAAGAAACAATCTCTATTTTACCTAATCAAGGTAACAAACAAAAAAGAACTACAAACTGCCTGTATAAACCCAGTGATATGGATATCAATAAAAAGTAAGCATAATTCACATAATCTCAGGGAAGGACAGTATGATTCAATGAGGACCACAATGTAATTTTATCCATTCGCTTTGTATTACTGATTTTTATTTGGAACTGGATATGGGGTGGATGTTTGAAGAACAGTGCTAGAGAGAAAGAAGAACTTTAGAATCTGTAACATAAATGGTAAGAAACAATTTAATAGGAGACAGGAGATTTTGAAGACATAATTGCAGAGGGAGATATGCTAAGCATAAAGGGTTCGTAATTATGAGAACTAGTTACTCTGCTACAAGTAATGTCTTTCTATTTAGAACACATTTACATATAAAAATTGCTAATAAAATGCCATATTTTTAATCTATTAATTCAAAGACATTCCCTCAAAAAATCATACTTAGCAATATTTTATTAGAACCAGTTAAGATTATAAAATACACCAATAAAATACTCTATAATTCAGACTTTTAATTATTTTACACTAATTTTCAATCCTTAGTGAGAATATATTTTATACAAATAATTAAAAGATAACAGACCTACCAATCACTCTTGAATTTCTTTTCTTTTCCCACACTTGAATTTCTGCCCAATTCAACCTTAGGATGCTTTCTCTAACATATGCTGTTATATATTACTTCCTAATCTCTGGCAGAGAGAAGAAATTCTGGAACTTCTTCCAAGATAAAATTATACTGACTTATTTTTTATCAGAAATCAACCTCAGTATCCATAAATACCGTAACAACCTTCTTTAAACTTAACAGTTTTAAAATTCCAGGCTGTTGTACAAGCGGTTTCTACTACTTGAAACCACTTTCCCCCTATCCCTTGACCTGACACACTTCTTTTTATTATTATTCAGCTATCATCCGCTCCAGGAAGACTTCCTTCCCTATCCAGCCTGGGGTAGATTTACCAATCTTCGGATCTCCCAAGGTACTCTATACTTCTGTCATAACACTTAATGTACACTGTAAGGAATAACTTCATAAGGCTATAAACTCCTTAAGACAGGGGAAACAGTCTGCATAGTTCATTGTTAGATCTGTAGTTCACAACATACACAGTGCCAGGCATATAATAAGTACTCACAAATATTTATTATATGTGAATGAGATAGGAGTTCACTGCCTAGTGGAGAAGAAATTATAAATACATAATTGTACACAATAATTGCATAGCATAAGCAAAGAAAAAGGTGGTCAGGAAATACTTTATGGTGGTCGTTTGAACTGATTTTAAAAGATGAGGCAGGCATTCCCTAAGTGACAAAGGGATAAGCAAAGGTACAGAGGCATGTAAGGGGATGGTATACTCTGAGAGGCAACAGTAGTTAGGAGTACTGTGTACTGAAAAGTAGAGATAAGAGGAGAACATATCATGGATTTATTCTACTTTAAGTCCCAGTATCTTTTTTAAATTCTTTTAACACCTTTGCATTTTTTAAAAAAGATTTTATTTGAGAAAGAGAGAGCACAAGTTGGGGGAGAGTCAGAGGGAGAGAGTGAAGCAGACTCCCCACTTGGCAAAGAGCCTGACGTGGGACTCGATGCAAGGACCCTGGGATCATGACCTGAGCCAAAGGCAGCCACTTAACCAAATGAGTGACCCAGGCAACCCTGAAAATATTTTTCAAATGGAAGGAAGTCTACCATAAAAATAACCACTGTTGGGCGCCTGGGTAGCTCAGTCATTAAGCGTCTGCCTTCAGCTCAGGTCATGATCCCAGGGTCCTGGGATCAAGCCCCACATCAGGCTCCCTGCTCAGTGGGAAGCCTGCTTCTCCCTCTCCCACTCCCCCTGCTTGTGTTCCCTTTCTCCCTGTCTCTGTATCTTTTTTTCTGTTTTAAACTAATAAGCAACTGCTGGCAGTTTATATTGCTTCCAATTTTTTACGGCTTATACTAAAACCACAAAATGGTTTTATTTAGTGTAAAAATTTATGTACTGTAAAAAAGTTTACACTAAAAAACACTACGATGAACAAACTAACAGCTAACTATTAATCACATCCCTTTTTACTTTTCTAAGTACATTCCCAGAAAAATGTATTGCTAAGTAAACAGGGATTTTTAAAAATGTAAGGTTTTTAATATATACAGCCATATTCCAGCCATGTTCAAAAGAACATACCAATATGCAGTACCACCAACAGTTAGGAGTGTCCACTTCTCCAAGCCCTGTCACACAGATATTTTTTAATTCTGCTAAGTGCCCAGAAGAAAAAAAATCTTAAGTTGAGACTTCTATTGTTAATCAAGTTGAACGTTTTTCATATTAGATTATTTTCTCTTGTGAATTGCTATTCATGTTCCTTGCTGATTTTCCTACTGTTATATTTTTATTACAATTATTCTCTTTATATTAAAGGTAATATACCTCAGTTTTTCAAAGACAGTATGTTGAATATATTTTCCATACACACTTTTATTTATATTATGTGGTTTATATATTTTCTTACTATATCAAAATCTTTACAAATCAAAATTGTCAAGTCCATTTGCCCCCTATGGTTTTATCTTTACTGATTAGGTTTTTATTTATTTAATTTATTTATTTGACAGAGAGATCACCAGCAGACAGAGAGGCAGGCAGAGAGAGAGAGGAGGAAACAGGCTCCCTGCTGAGCAGAGAACCCCATGAGAGGCTTGATCCCAGGACCCTGAGATTAACCGGAGCTGAAGGCAGAGGCTTAACCCACTGAGCCACCTGGGCTCCCATTGATTAGGTTTTTAAAGTAAAAATATTTTAATGACTTCCTGACAGAAATTAAATGACTGAAAAAAAACACACAATGACAAAGCCTACTGGAAAATCAAACTTTTAAAATAAACTGATCATCATCATAGAGCATCTTCTTACATTTAGAAAATTTAGGGAAAAATAAGATATTTTATTTAGTTTACAGAAAATACTTAATGCACATATGGATTCAAAACCCCAGTGGCATTATACCACCTTAACCCACAGTGATTGACCCTGAGGCTTTAGGCAAGAGAATGATATGATTAGATTAAGAGTTTCAAAAAGATCTCTGAGGTAGCTAGTTTCTAAAACTGTTGGATTTTCAAAAAAAATAAAATGAAATGGGGTATCAGTTTTAAAGTTTTTGTCAATAAGGCCATTGAAAAATTACCATTGTTGCATGAAAACGGAAAAATTACTATTTTAATGTCAATAATGTACAAAGAATATAATCTTGGAATAAAAGCTAATAATTTGAATTGAATAATAAATTACCTTAATGAAAAATTTAACACTTTGACTTTAGTTTTTCTCATTTTGCCTTAAAGTTTACCTGTTAAAAATCTTGGTATTGAAGAATCATTGGTGAAGAGAATAGAAAATTATAGAAAACTAAGTTGAAGAATCATTGGTGAAGAGAACAGAAAATTATAGAAAACTAAGAATGCTGATTAGGAGATCAGTTAAAGTACCCACAACTGTTATCCTAAAGCAAGCAGATGCAGAGAATGTAAAGTATTAGACAAATCCTTTGAGATCTGGCTCAATCTTCTCAAAGTAAAACTCAGTCTAGCCTAGTAAGTTAATAAATTGTAAAATGTTTTTAACTTTATAGTCTCTAATAAACAGGAGACACTCCATTCACACTGAAATCTATGAGTTTATGAATTATAAAACTGCTCCATATGTTTCCATCAAATCCCAACATATGACTCTTAACAGTTCTGGAAACTGGACACCTGGATAAATTGAAGTCTTCATTACCAGAGGAAAACTGGTGAAAGATAACAGCGACTGAAACAGAATTTCCTTAAAATGGGTACCAACATTTCATTGTACATGGAAAGTGTTGTCTTTATCTAAAAACCAGAAGTCATAAAATTTTTTAACATTTATTTTACATTTATGTAACTATATGCAAATTCTTAGAATAAGACTAAATTAAGTGTTTAGGTTTTCCTATATAATCTTTCCATTAAAATTATGACAGCAAAATATAGCACCCTTACTTCATATTTGAGCTTTGTACTATAATTAGAAAGAGAGTCATTTCTATATAAACTTCAAGGGCTTTATTCATTTTCCCAAGGGCCTTTCCTTAGTCCCATGAAATATTCACATAATTCTCTGAACTATCTATCATGTCCCCGTTTCTGTCATTTCCTTTTCTTTAACTGATAACTAGTCTAACTCTATCAGATCCTTATTTGGCAATGATTTTATATGTAATTGACCAGTTTTCTATTATCACTCTCAGGGTTTTGTGAAATTCTACATCCTTTGCAAGGTAAGAAATTTCATGTTACTAGTGATGCAAGCACTGCATTTACATTACAGTGTTCGAAGTACATCAGTCAGGAAAAGACCAACAAAGACAGTGGGAGGGAAAAGTAGATCCTGGAATATTTAAATAGCCACTGATTTTTTAACTGCCATACCACTAAGTGAATATTCTTATGATAATCTCAAATGTCCTTGTAATCTCTAACCTGGGGGGACCTTGATTATTAAATGGACTCTTAAATCCATATACAGGACCCTCATGAATGAGAAGTAAACCTGTATAATGGGTTTAAGAATTTAAATTACATCATATTTTTGCCTTACTTTTCCAAAGTATGAAACAATAGAAAATACTCTTCCCAACTATCAATATTTTTATTTTACAAGATAAGCAAACCTTTAAAAACTAAGAAATGAACTAGAAGACATTACTAAGTATGTGTAAAATCATTATCTAGGAAATGCATGCCCACATCTCTGAAAAAGAGAGTGAGGTGGTCTAATTGAACTGAGCATGAATTCTAGCTCTACCGCTTGGTACATATTAAAGATACTGGGCAAATCTCTTTATCCGAGCTGCAATTTCTTTATTCCTTAAAGTGGGTACAATATC